TCTAGAAGAGATTGATTCTTCACCATTTTAAGAGATATTGATTCTAGAAGAGATTGATTCAGTTTTGTAGAAATCAATGAATTAAAAACTTCCACCATAATTACATAAATACTCAGATAAAGCCAAAGTAGAAAATTGAATTTGAATTACTCCATAATAATACAATTTCATATACTACTTACGTTATTTAATTCAAATTAGTATCAGTATGATCAATTCTAGTGCTTAAGATGATATTATTTAGCCAAGCTATTTATATCACGAACTTAACTCGGATATTTGATTTGTATATTTGTATTGTACATACAATGTCATATATATCCTGCTCCTTGTAAGTCCATCATAATCCGAAGCAATAGCAGATCAACAGCTACGCACGAGTTGAATTTACACCATTTTAGGATCAGTTGGCATATATATTAAATAGATTGAGTAAAATTCAAATTAAAGAATAAATATCTCAATCCCTCTATCTCTTATTAGAAAATGTAAGAACTCGTGTGCTTGAACCAAGAATAAAGGATACTGCCTGATTGCTGGAGACCATGCTATATTATGCATTCATGAAAGCCCTTACTATAATATATACTCTTAACTTCTACAGACACATTGAATATTAACAGCTAATTAACAATGAATATATGAATTGATTCAACGCGTAGGTATCTTAATATGGAGCTTCAATCATAATCTTTTTCAAATGAAAACAAATTGTATTTATATATTAATAAATTTTTAATAATAATTCATAAAAGAAACTTATTTTAACAATGTAATTTTATTAATTTTTAAAAAAAATAGATAATTACTTTCAATATCATTCTAATAATTGACTTCTGTAAATTTCAATCATGTATCTCATCATACTATATTGAATTTAGTCAGGTTCCAAGAATTTGGTATGATTGATATAAAGATAGAAAGCATAAACTTAAATAACAAAAATTTAATTAGAGAGAATGTATGTATAGTATATTCGTTTGTATAGTATGTTCAAGTATCAAAAAATTTTGTACAGAGATGAATTTCTATTCTAGTTGCTAAGGACATTGAGAAGAGTTGATCTGGTCTTCACCAAATGCCTAAACAATGATTCTAAAACTTCGTCGATTTCTTGAATTTCTGACTCTAAATTTACTAGTTGTGACATATCAACATTCGCTTTCTTCACAAGAAGAGCATCAACAACATCAAAGGAAGTTGCTGCTTTCTTCTCAGATCTTTGGCTAAAGAAAGACCAGCTACTCTTCTGTGATCCGCCGATGTAAGACAACAAGGAGTTAAAGACTTCAGCAGTCAAAGTTTGCACATCCTTGAGCATGCTCTCAATGGCAACGGGCTCAACTGCATTCATATCTTTCAAGCACTTCTTGATTGTCTTCTTGGATGCTCTTCTTGTTTTTAGGTATTCAGCGACTTCATTGGTAATGTCAAGTTCACCATTGCACCTTCTTCGAAGAACTGATTGAATGTTTTGGATCTGTTCCTTTGACACTGCCAAGACATCTCGAGATGTTGAGCAAATGTCAATGAGTCTTAGAGATCCATCCAATACTTGTTGAGATTGAGAAACGGTTTTCTGATTTTGGGGCAATTGAAGAAACTCTTCAACTGATTTGTATAAATCATTTAGACCACTAAGTTTGGTGGTCAAGGATGAAGTAGAAGCAGCTTGAGAAGACCTCAATCTGTTTAATTGTTGATCCAACTGCTCAGAAACGGGGTGAGAGTTTGAGGGGAAACTGAATGATCGAGTATGGATAGAAGCCATTTTGATATTGTTTTTAAGTTTGTTAAGAGGCTTAGAGTTATAAGATTGAAGTTTTGAGTTGTTGAATATCTCATTCTTCAGCCTCTATTTATACCAAAGTAAGAGAAGACAAAAGGAATCAAAATATTAAATGAGACTCAGAGAGATAACATGCTCTTACTTGGGCTCGTTTCAAATTGTCTCTTCACAGCAAACTAGCCAACTCATGAATTGTTTACGATGAACTTTGCTTACATTATACAAGTAGTTGATATTAATTAAAGAAACGAATTGCAGGATTTTTTGTCATACAACAACCAGTACAATCTGCAAGATGATGTCTTATTTTAATCCGTTGTTTCGTTTATGTCTAACTCTCAGCTAATATAATTCCTGCATTCCCTGGTTGCAGAGTAAATCATGTGGTGATCAACTATTATATTTAGAGACAAAATGGAGGTATCATGATCCTATAAATGCGCTATATACGAGTGGGAATGGCGAGTACTTATCTCTCCTTCGCTGCAATGCAAACTCCAGAACCGTACCCTTTGTGTTCCCTGCTCATTTGCTGCAATGCAAACTTCATCAGTCATCCATGTTCCATACTCAACTGCTGCAACGCAAAGTCCATTACCCAACCGTGTTCTATGCTTGCAATGCAAACTCCAGAACTCAACCGTGTTCCCTGCTCATTCATTGCAAGCTCCATAATCAATCCTGCAATCCAATCTCACACAATTGTAAGTCAATGTACAAAGCCCCAATTCAGTTGATGCTGAAAGAAAATACACCATTACAACAATCAAAGCATTCCAAGAAGCAATATCTCACTTAGGCATTTCATCAAACACCTTGTGGGTGCAACAAATATATCAAAGGATGAACTCATTATGAACCTTGGGCAACAAAAGGTATCAAAAGGGGCATATATATAAGAAATTCATGATTATGTGAGGCCCAGAACATAAAGAAGAAGTGGATAAAAGCAAATTGAAAAGTTAGGGTTTTGGCATAAATTCAAATGATGGTATTAAAATCATACAAGTATAATAGAAAGTTGTAAATGAAATTGAAGATGAGATTGCAGTTTCTACTGCAGTATAGTTTTGATGAAGATGACGATGATCTGGTGGAACTGCCCATAATGTAGAAGAGTTTGGGCCGGTTTCTATGATTTAATATAATTGCGAAGGAAGGCGGATGTTTTTTCACAAGAATACAAGAAAGTAAAATACTACATTGTACTCCCTCTATCCATTTATTATAACTTTATAAGTCTATTTCAATATTTATTACTTACATGATAAAAGAAATCGGCTTCTAACTTAAGGACGAAGATAGTACCTACTATTCACTAACTAAAGGAGCAATATACCTTTCGGATCACCAGCTTGAGGAGAAGACACATGTATGTGATAATATGATCAATCAGCCACGGGGTATGTAGCCCATGAATTTTAAATGGAATTGATAACTACTTTGTAGCTTTGTTCAATCACTAGAAGGGTGCCCTTGTGAAGAAAAGAAGATTAATTCTCAACTATGAAGGCAAAGCTAATGTGGTGAATTGAAAATTCAAAGTATAAATTAATTCTCAACACGTTTGACTTCTCTCTAATAATCAATTGACATTTTACTTAGAGATGTTAATTTGGATACTTGGGTCAACGGTCAAATTCGATGAGGTCAGGTCTACTCTTCATAATTCAAAATTATTGTGTTTGTACAGGTTTAAATTTGAATCGAATTTTTAGGTCAAATAAGCACTCAAATTAGATTTCGTATGTTTTGGATTAATTGTAACACTAATAAATACATTTCTTTTGGATTAATTGCAAGGTCTTCCTTATTGGAAAAGAAACACCAATATACTTGCTCCATTTTTTAAATACTAATCTTGTTATTCTATTTCACACAACATAATTTTTCTCAACTCTACAACTACATCTTACAAAAAAATTTCACTATAACCCCATATTATGTTACAAAATCTCAATTTATTTCACATACCTATATATATTTTCTTAAACTATATCTATGCAGTGCAGTGTGGCGATTAATCTAAAACAGATTAATTTATAAAAACTATCCTTCATTTTTACATCAAGTACATGAAGAAGCTAAGTACATCAATGCAGAGGATAGTAGATAGATTTCTTACCTTAAGTGTTACTCACCACAGATCTTATACAAGTAAAAACCAATAGACATGAACTAAATTCAATTCATGTAATAATCTTATAAAATATTAATGATAACTTGTGATTTGCATGAGTTGCAATCAACTTCAAATAAAGAGAAAAAATCATTTTGTTATGCAATTAACTAATCTTTTTCATAAAGCATTTCTTTACATAAACAAAGTTAGAGAAGTCAAAATGCAAATCTTGTTTATACATTAAGGTAAGAGAGGACAAGTAATGGAATCTTATATTGATATGTGAAAGATTACATGATTTTATTTTTCTATAGAGGGCTTTCAAGGTTATGTACTTATGTTTCATATTGTCTCTTCCTATTCAACTGGCCAGCTAACTATAGCACGAACGATGCTTGGATAATTGATTATTGGAATGTATATGATGATCTTACGTACAATGTCATATACTGCACCCTGTACGTCTATCACGATCCTAAGCAACAGCTACACACGAGTGTAAACAACTCTATTTATCTACTAATGGTTAGGAATTGACATGTTTTTTTAAATGGATTATTGAGTAAAATTTGAAGAACTCCCTTTAAAAATGTAACAACTCGTGTGTATGATCCTAGAATAAAGGTGAATGCCTGACTGTAGGAGACCATGCAATCTCATGCATTCATGCTACAATATATTTTGAAGCTCCTGCAGACAAATGGAATATTAACAGCTAATGAGCTGAGAATTCATGAGTCGATTCAAGTCATTCAACGCGTACCTTCACATGGAGTCATTATTGGGATATTCAACCTTCATTTAATCATAATGTCTTTTAAGGGAAAATGATCTTATTTATTTAGTCCAATTTTTTTTAAAAATCGTAAAAGAGAAACTTTTTTTACCATAGATGATTTCATATTAGAAATAATTAACTTGAGTTATTCATGTCTTTTGACTTTTGCACTGTCAAGTTTGTTTTACCATTTTCAGGCTTCATGCCACTGGTAACTTTAGTACGATTGACTGAATGATTGAAAGCAGAAACTTAAAGAACACAGATATAATTAGAGAGAATTGTATGTATAGTATATTCATTTGTATGTATATTCACGTATCAAAAATTTTTGTACAAGGATGAATTTCTATTCTAGTTGCTAAGGACATTCAGAAGAGTTGATCTTGTCTTCACCAAATGCCTAAACAACGATTCTAAAACTTTGTCAATTTCTTGAATTTCTGACTCTAAATTTACTAGTTGTGACATATCAACATTCATTTTCTTCACAAGAAGGGCATCAACAACATCAAAGGAAGTTGCTGCTTTCTTCTCAGATCTTTGGCTAAAGAAAGACCAGCTACTCTTCTGTGATCCGCCGATGTAAGACAACAAGGAGTTAAAGACTTCAGCAGTCAACGCTTGCACATCCTTGAGCATGCTCTCAATGGCAACGGGCTCAACTGCATTCATATCTTTCAAGCACTTATTGATTGTCTTCTTGGAAGCTCTTCTTGTTTTAAGGTATTCAGCGACTTCATTAGTAATGTCAAGTTCACCACTGCACCTTCTTCGAAGAACTGATTGAATGTTTTGGATCTGTTCCTTTGACACTGCCAAGACATCTCTAGATGTTGAGCAAATGTCAATGAGTCTTAGAGATCCATCCAATACTTGTTGAGATTGAGATACGGTTTTCTGATTTTGGGGCAATTGAAGAAAGTCTTCAACTGATTTGTATAAATCGTTTAGACCACTAAGTTTGGTGGTCAAGGATGAAGTAGAAGCAGCTTGAGAAGACCTCAACCTGTTCAATTGTTGATCCAATTGTTCAGAAACGGGGTGAGAGTTTGAGGGGAAACTGAAAGATCGAGTGTGGATAGAAGCCATTTTGATATTGTTTTTAAGTTTGTTAAGAGGCTTAGAGTTGTAAGATAGAAGTTTTGATTTGTTGAATATCTCATTCTTCTGCCTCTCTTTATATGTACCAAAGTAATTGAAGGCAAAATGAATCAAAAATTAAATGAGACTATGTGAGATAGCATGGACTTCCTTGGGGTTGTTTCACGATGTCTCTTGTCAGCAAACTAGCCAACTCACGAATCGATTGATCGTAACATTTTCTGTTAATATAATATAACTCATATCAATTAATAAAATGAAATGAAGGAAATTTTGTTGTAGAACCACCACTACAAAATCTGCTATAGATGTCCTATTTTAATGTAGCATCTTTCAGCTGTTTGTTCTCCGTCTTTCAACTCTCAAACAGCTAATATATAATTTCAAATCATGGGGTGACCAGCTGTAGAATTTTGCAACAAAATGTAGGTATCATGATCCTATAAATGCGCTATACACGAGTGGAGATGAGGAGTACTTATCTCTCATTTGCTGCAATGGAAACTCCATAACCCGTCCGTGTTCCACGCTTTTTCGGTGCAATGCAAACTCCACAACTCGTCTGTCGGTCTGTGCTCCTTGCTCTAAAACTCGTCCGTGTTCCATGATCTTTCACTGTTATGCAAACTACATAACCCATCTGTCGTCTGTCGCGTCTGTATTCCTTGCTCATGGCCGCAAATGGCATAACCGTTCTCTGTTTGCCATCCTCAGCAGCTGAACATTGAATACTACAGAGCAGTATACCACAACCCATCTCACCATATTTACGCTGTATCGATGAATCAAACCATTTTTTATTTTTACCATACATATCAATCAATGCATTACACACTAATTTAGCACTAGAACTTAATTATGCCTCATTTCCAAAATTCCTCCTATAAGCTGAAAAGCGTTCCAAGAAGAAACTTTTCTTTTAGGCATTTTATCAAACACCTTCTCGGCACTCAGCAAATCGGGTTTTATGCAACAAATGTAATCAAATTATATTCGGATGATGTGAAAAGGGGCAAGATGCAGTTACATGTTAGTTGAAGGAGACGGCAGTATGCTCGAGAAGTTTGGTGCGATGAAGATGGTGCGTTCCAGCTTGGAAAGAATGAGCAAAGGTTCTGAGATTCTTTAGGGTTGATAAAGTCTCCAAATTAGATTTATTTTGACAAATTAAGGTTAAATTTATTAAATTTTGGTCCGAGTACAATTAAGTTGGATGGTAGGTAAAATTGGGCTTAGGCTAGGTGTAGGTTGATTTATATTTAGATTAGGTGTACAATTCAAGTCATGTCAAAATATTAACTCAAATCAAGTTTGATTCAATTCATTTTTCAATCAGGACGTATTTTTTTTTTAAAGAGACAAATTTATATCAATATTAATAACTATGCTACTAATAAATTTAAATAATTGTTGGTATATATATATATATATATATATATATATATATATATATATATATATATATATATATATATATATGTATATATATATATATTTTGGTGATTATTACTAAAACGTGAACTATACTACTATAGTAAGTGGTAACTATTATAGAACCTGTGCAATTGCACAATTTTAAAAGTTCAAATTGAATAGTACTATATCCTTGAAAATTCAAAATTATAGTTATAAATTTAATCCACATTAGTAAAAGCCTATATTATTCATTATTTTATAACAATAACTAGTGAGTAGCCTTGGCGTTGCCCCAGGTTGTTACTGTTGTAGACGTGCAATTGATAAATATTTTTAAAGGCTTTTTAAAACTCCAATTGTCATTGTCATACCAAAATTGAGTTACTCTTTGAATATTTTTATTTTTATTAATTGAATTTTGTTGTTGGCACTTATATTTACATATAAATAACATAGTTGATATTGGCTTAGATGGTTAAATAGTCATATGTCTTTTAATATCCTTATATTTCCTTTTAATAGATTAGTATAGATAGAGCTAAATATAGACGTAACTTTAAATTATTGTTGGTTTTTTTGTTTAGGGAAATCATACATTAGATCATTAAATGAAGTTGAATTCATAGTAGTACCAAATAAAATCTCATACACAACAACATTTGGACATGTCCTAAACAACCTCATTAAGTCACCATCATCATCTATTGGCTAGTGTTTATCTCATCTATAAGCATAAGCAAAAATAGGGTTCAGTATAACTACTCCCTTTTTTTGTAACGTATCTTCAAATTCTATGATTAAATCCATTAAGTTACATTCATCAGGGTCCACTAACTCCACTTCAATATCAATTCTATGCACCTTCTACTTAAATCGAATTGAAACACAACTTTCTCATTCTCATTCATTCTGCAAAATCAGTATACAATCACTTAATTTAACCACACCAAAACATCACAATACAATTTCACACACAACACCAATTTTAATATCTGAAAAGATTAAAATTTGGCAATCACTTTGCAAAATAAGAAATAACACTGTTACATGCAATCATAAACACAATTTCACACTCAAATGTATTTTAATATCAGAAAAAAAAAATTAGCAATCTAACATGATCATATGTAAATTAAGCATAATTCAGAGCTAAATTTAACGTTTGTTTAACGGCATGGTTACTGTAGCAATTAAGGTAAAATTATAGGGGTACCGCTGATAATGAAAGTTTAATGAAGGGTATCATTGATAAAAGTCAAAACGACAAGGGTATCATTGATAATTTCTCTTTTGTTTAAGTGATACATGTCACCACGAGATTGGGTTATAACAAATAAATAAAAAACTTTTTAAAAAATTAAAAAAAAACCCGACCCCCAATCACAACAACCCCACCACCACCCATGTCCGAAGTCCCTCCTCCCACCGGATCAACTCAAGTTCCCGACCCCTACCTTGTCGCGCCTAGACCTTCTCCCTCGCAAGCACCGCCCTCCTCGGCTGTACTGGTTGTTGTGGTCATGTGCTTTGCACGTGACAATTTTTAATTTGGCCGAAAAAAGTCAACACCAAAAAATGGTCAAAGAACTCTTGTCACAACCCGAATACGATATAAGGACCTTTTGTGTCACCTTTTTTTTTTTATAAAAAGACCTTTCAAATAAAAAGGTCTACATAAAAGGACTGTTCTTACAAATTTTCCTATTTATTACTACCACTTTAAAATATGAAGTACAGACGACGTCTGTTAATAAATCAGATATGAAAGCGTGCACCGGTGCACATATAAGCTATAAGAATAGAAGTTATTATATCTTAAGACATTAAAATTTACTCTCTACGTTATTGTTTCAAAACTAAGAGCTTACCAATTGCATGTGGCTTGATTGAGTAGAAGGTTGTTTAGCTGCTTTACCCTCAACTCTATCCATTATGACTTAGCAAGGGATCATGTTCTTCTCTAGGGTTGTACCCCTGCAGTTCATCCAAATATAGATCTAATTAAGTATAAGACGGCTAATTGGTTTCTTATAGAACTAAGCCGCTCTCTTATAATACTCATATTGTTTCTAAATAATGGATACTTTCACGCTTAACATTGTAAAACTTAGAACATTATATATTTGTAAGAAAATTTATGTCATATAAACACATCATGTATGCTGAGACAAATCAATTGAGACAAATTAAATAACAATTCAATCAAGAAATAAAAGGTACAATTAGTGGTGATAATATAATGACAATATCAAAACTTACCAATTCCAGCAGACACATTGGGTCTCTACACTCCTTATTTGCAGCAGGGAACAACTTGTCCATGACTTGATACAAGAATCTCTTATCGATTGAAATTACTATGAGTGAACTTATAATAACAATAATAACAACGGCAACCCACAAGGACTTAGGGGCTATAACCGTGTAAACGCCAGTTAGAAAAGCCAATAAGGTGCAATTGAGCGCCACCCTAAGTAACACCATGCTTCGATCGATCAATATTAGTGACTTACTAGAATTGTAGACCATGGACCATGTGAGACAAATCAGCACCAACATTGAAAAAAACAAGGCCAGTGTATCCGATAGCAAAAATACTAAAAAAGATGCATTTTTGGCCAAAAGTGCCTCTCCGGTACCTTGATTGAATCCACCTGGGAGAGTGAATCCTGCAGTGAATGTAATTGTGGCTAGTAGAGCCGCTACCACAAATAGTGAAGTTCGTACATCTAACAAATTCGTCTTATGCTTGATGTATGTTGTTTTTATATTTGGATTAAGTCCATTTCTTTTGCACATCTGACACTGTAATGAATCATAATTCATAACATTATTAATCTAAAAAAAAATATATGTAATACTGAATAATCATGAAAGTCATTGCTCACACCAATTATCTATTTTGATTTTCATTGATACTAATATAGTAGTCACACCACCTAGTAAATTTTAGTAAAAAAGTCAACGTGTCAAAAAAATTAACCAATGAGATTGTGACACGTGTCTCAAGTAACCTGTAAACCAGGTTACCAACCGGTTTTGTATCATTTTTGGCAGATGCATGTGAAAGGTAGCGTTATTTTGGAAAAATCAAAAGGACGTGCTATTATTGAAATACCATTCAAAGGTGGTATTATTCTGGACAAATTTTCCAAAAAATTATATAGTACATAAGTCAAAAGTCATACCTTATAGGTATCATGTTCAATGCATATCACAGAATAAGTATTTTGTTCCAATTACCTTATAGATATCATGTTCAATGTAAATCACATACTAGTACTGTAGTACAAGTTGAAGTATATTCTACCAAATAACATAGGTAAGTGTCTCACATTAATAAAAGTTGAGAGAGTCAAACACTTTATAAGGCTAAGAAGAGGAGCTAAACCTCCTATTGTCTTATGGTTTTGGGATGGACTTTTTTTTTGGTCTTGTGAAATGGACTCTCTCTTAGTTGCGGATGCGGCCTGCTAGACCCATGTTTAAGAGTACGTACATGTTATGCCAGTGTGTAATTTGTTAAGTTTACTAGTGCAAATCAATGAACAAAGGCAAAGTGCAAGTTAATTAAAAGAATTACTCGTCTAAAAGTAGTTATGAAAAGAAATCATACCCATGCTTCCTGATTCTTGCATACATGTGCCAGCAAATCCATGGCAGTTACATTTTGGTGGTCGTTGATGTCATATATAATTTTATCCATGTTGAGCAACACTTCGGTCAAGTATATGTCTTCTCTTCGTATTGCTTTGTGTAAAGGTGTTTCTGCTTGGGAATCTTGAACATTGAGCAAATCCTTCATGCGTGGAATCTTAAGAAACTCTTCATACTCCGTTACATTTTGGAGTCGAATATGATGCAAAGGAGAATCCTTGTGTTCAGTACAAAAATCTCGAAACGCACCCGGATTATGCTCGATGAAGGCACGTAGAGCCGAGACATGACCATTCTCACATGCTTTTATCCAAGCAAAGGGTGCTCTACTGAACACATATGGATTTTTTCAGAACTGCTTTTATAAACCAAGCAAGACCAACTTCATAAGCTTTATCCCAAGGTGATTGTCCGTTGTTATCTTTTTCGGTGATAAATACTGGTGCTTCATTAATTAGCCATGTCCCGAACTCTATATCTATATATTTTCATGTTCTACAAAACATTAGTACATTATAATACAAACAAAGTACTCACAAAAGCACATATGTTTTCTTCGTCGATACATTAATAAGTATTTATTGTTAAAGTTTATCAGACAAATCAACCAAGAACATATACTCGCTCTGTCTTTTTATTTATAGGGATGCCCCACTTTCTCATGGTGAATAACCAACAATTTATTCAATTGTGCAGCCCACAATAATGAAAAAGTTGTTGATTTATTCACGAAAATGCCCCCATGAGACACAAATTTTGTCTCTCAATATGAGACACAAATTTTGTCTCTCAATATGAGACACATGAAATTTCCCTTTATTTTTGCACCATATATATGACTCATAAACCTCTCACATAAAATGAGCCAGTATATGGTGCCAAAAAAAGGAAACAGAGGGAATATGTTTTGTTAATCCATGATTCACTACACACAACTAAGTACAAGCTAAGTATGACAAAGAATTAAATCTTACAAAAATACCTGTTATACTTGGAGCCAGATGCAATATATTCCGACCATTAGAGGGATCTGTTACAAATTTGGTCCAACTTTCCTTGGCTAATCTAGCCAATATCTCTTTGGATACTTGAGAGCAATTATTCTGTATAGCAAGAAACAAAGTAGAGTGCTCCGGCTCATAATGGTCTAATAGTGTATTAATGAGATCACCCTTATATAGTGATAATATGTATAGGGCAAGTTTTTCACGTTGGTTGAGTATTGCCAAGTGAAGAGGACCTTGATAGTGTTTATTCTTTTGAAACCATGGAATTATACTTAGATCACTCACATTCCAATTAGGCATTTCTTCTTTGTAAGCATCTACCATGAG